TCATTCATTCATTCATTCATTCATTCATTCATTCATTCATTCATTCAATGTCTTACGCATAAAGCTCCACCTGGTATTGACAAAAGGATAAATTATAATTCTATGTTTGTGAGTAAGCTTCATATTTCAAAGCCAAAGAAAATATCGAAGTGGATTTATAAAGGGCACTGTGTTATCTAAAATACCTCCTGGAAGTGGCTTTCAACTGATACAGTGTCAAATTATTGCATTAACCTTTCAATAATTAATGACCAGACTTTTACTTTGACCTTTCAGGCTTGTTCATGAGACAGTGAATGTACCATTTACATAGTTTCATATGAAGTAAAATGGGAAATTTGCATTTGAAGAGACTTACTGTTTGATTCTTTTCATTTTAGAAAACTTTGGAATCTTTCTGTTATTCCCCATTCCATTAGTCAACTTATTTTTCCTGTTCAAATTAAAAATACCTATTCAAATTCTGAAATAGTTTTTACCAACAGCAAATATGTATGTGTTCAGAGATAACATGGAAAAATAACATGGTGACCTGCAAACAGTCTAGGAGACTCCTAGAGTCCATTGGCGACTACTTTCTGGTTCAGGTATTGGACATGCCTGGACCAGAAGTGAAGCATTGCTGGACCTGTTACAGTTTGACAGCATGGTATAGGGTAGGGAGGGAACTAAATGGGAGGACTTGAACATTTCAGACCTTGCCTCATAGCAGAATATAGAGGGGAGATCCAAGCAAGTAGATAGTGAGGAAAATTAATTCAGAAGGAAAGAACTATTAGGAGAGAGAAATAGAACTGAAGAGTAGATAGCCTGCACTAGGAAGCATGGAGAAGATCATGGCAGAAAAGCCAAAGTCTGGATCCTAGTGTTCAAGTAAGGATTGTGATGGATTCTAGAAAGGAAAAATACACTATTATCTGCAACTAATTTGGGGGTAAGAAAAAATTAAAATAAAAAAGGCAGATATATGTGGAAGAGGACTAGATGAAAACAGCATCTTGAGTAATGGAGAAGTATTATTCATGGAAGTTTCCAAGACATAACTGTAATTTCAGAACAGGTTTAGGAAAAATGAAATCTTGGAAGATGAAGTTAAGGCAAGAGAGACCTACATTAAAAAACATGTACTTTGACATACAACTCATAGTCCAGAGACAAAGTGAGAACCGCCAAGTGACAACCTGAGATGAACAAAATGCATATTAGCAAATAATTGATAGCAAATAGAAAAAGGATAAGAGTTTGTCAACTGCATAAACAAAAAAGGGAGATGAAAGCTTGATATCCAGTGAGGAATGGACGGTAATTGAAGATGATTTTAAATGTGCTTCCAAAACTGAAAACAAACATGCTTTGTTTTCTCTGATCTAGTTTTTGGTAAGGATAATGTAGGGTTAAAGGCACTTTGATTAACAGTTAAGGAGGCATAGAAATGAAATTGATTTCCAAAGGAAAAGGAAAACTTAGACCTCCATGTACTCAGTTTTGGGACATAATTAGCCTATCGGCATTGATTCTTGCACATGGAATCCTAGGAGAATATGCATTTTGAGTATATTAATCAAGTTGGGTCAGTTCTGTCTGATTTAAAGATAAAGTGAATGTTACATCAAAAATGCTTCCCTATGGTCCTCAGACTCAAATCGCAGGTGTTACTTTGATAAGTCTTTTTGGAATGTCAATAATTAACATGCTTCACTTATAACACTATTTCTCTTCATCTTTTCTGTTTTTGTTTAAATTGTAAAATATTGCTTTTACATTGCAATCCTGTATTATTTGCTCAACCAAACATTTGTGAAGTAAAAAAGTGTTTCATTAAACCAGAGAATCTCAGTTAATTATTCTGTTTGCAACTTCAACAGTAGTAAACAACCTGCTGCACTGTGTTGAAAGACTGGTACAAATAAAGCAATTCTGTTCTGCCTAGGCCATCTTCTTCTGTAAATAAATGCATTAAAAAAATTCATCTTCAATATCTTTATGCAATTCTTTAAATTATGGGTGTTTTCAGATCAGTGTTCAGACTCTTTCGATTTTTGATTCACAATTTCCATTCTCTCTTTCAGGTGTGGTATAACCAAAAAGGTTTCCATTCACTGCCATCCTACCTAAATGAACTCAATAACTTCATTCTGTGGCTGAATTTGCCCCCAGCTGTGGATTGGAGACAGTATGGTAATATTTCTTTAATTGTCTGTTAATATCTGTTATGGTTTTATGATTTTTGTTATCAGTATTCCACATCATAACATCATGTAGTACATTGGCAGTTGAAGAGTTAATGCTGCAGTTCCATGGATTGTCAATAATTCCAGGTACCTGGTTTTCAGAAAGAGCCAACTACAGATCCCAGAAGACTTCACTGTTCTGTCTCTGTTTTCCATTCAAAGGGAAAGACAAAATTGTTTGGGGGTCATGAGGCTACCCACTCGTGTCCACTCATCTCTGTGGTGTGTGCTCCTTAGCTTTCCCGCCTTCAGCATTAGAGTAAGGCCTTTTGAACAATCTCTCTCTCATTTTATTTATTAGCTTCAATTTCACCTTTATTGTATTACACTGTGTGTTATCTCACATTCCACTGTCGTATATATAGTAAATTAGTTTCCTCTGTTAGCTCACTGCCACTGTTTTGTTTTTAGGCACATCTCTCTATCTTTTACCTTTTTCTCCCTTCCTTATCTCCTATGGGTCTCCCTCACCTATTATTTATAGAACCAGGCTGAACCAGGCCAGAACTGTTGACAGTATCTTTTGAAAAAATAATTTTTAAATAAAATATGTTTCAGTATGAAGGATTGACATGGTATCAAGTCAGATTCCAGAGTGACAGGCTTCATAGGATATTTTGGAAATGAAATAGCATGTTTATCTGTGTGAAGAATGTTGTGTGCAAGGAGGTAACATTTGAATTTGTACTGTCTCATCCATACACATTTTTTATGAAGGATATTCCTATGGACTAAGTGTAAATTGGCTTGCTATGATAGGGATGCTTATTCTCTGGGAAAATAGGGCTTGCTTAAACAGAATGTTTAATGTGCAAGAATATGAATTTATAACTTATTTATTACTTTAGTTTTATTAAGTAAATACTTAAAGTAAACCCAGTGCATCTATTGAATTCACACTGCAGTGTAACGTGGTGAATTCTTAGTATGTTGAAAGCTGAGTTTGTTAGTTCAGGCTAAATATTGTTCATTCTGGTTCCTTTCATTAGCAGAGGTTCTGCTAAAGAAGAATTAATTTGAAAAATAGCTTATGAACACTTTTTAAGTGTACAAATGTGAAATGATGCTCAGAGCTTCCACTGCTTTTTTCTAATATTCCTAAAGCATCTTTCTTTTCTTTCTTACTGACTTTTCCTGGAGGAGGCAGTATTATTTTTCATATCTGGCATCCATGTTGATGTCTATATTTCACTTTTCATATGAAAATAAAGGAATTTTATTTTTTAATTTCAATTTGGAGACTTTCAAGTTGGGTTTCTGTCCTTTTTAAGCGGAGGAGAAAAGAGGGGAAGATTTTTGTATTGGTTTGATTCTTCGTGACTTCATATTTATAATAAAGAAAGAAGAGGAAAATTAGTGAAAAGGAAAGGGGATCTTGGGTGGTATAAAATAGAAATTCATTAGGAAATGTTTTCAAAATGGCAGGTGAAAAAAAAAAGTTAGCTTTAAGGATGGGTGGAGTTTTATTTTTTTCTAAATGGATTATGAGGAAAATAAAAAAAAGGCCAATATATTTCTGAAGAAAGTCTAGGTTTAGGTGAAATTAAGTATTTTAATGAGAACTTTTAACAAAAAATAAATTTTAATCAAGTTATCCTGCACTTTATAAATACTGTTGAAACTGATTTGTTTTCTGTAGCAGTACACATCCCATTTGGTAATTTAAACATTTAAGTACCCTTACTTTTGTATCTGTTTGTGGAGATTTGGGAATTTACTATCTGGATTAGAATTGAAGATTATCATAGTTATCCTAAGGATTGTAATAGTGTTGTATTTGGCTTTGCTGCAGACACAAAGCTGTGATAAAACAGTTCCTGAAGCATTGGATTGCCAGCAGATTATATGAAGGTCAAGAACGTTTACTATGCTTTTCTCATTAAAATGGTTATATTTAATTATATGTAGATTAGTTATTGGAAGATTATATACCATATTTCTAGACTGAGATCCGCACAACTAGATTTTTTTCCTCAATTGAAAAATCGTTTTATATACAAGGGTCATTCAACAGTATTATTAAAAACTACTCTGAAGGAGCTTGTTAGGATGCTGCAGATGTGCAGCTTTATAATACTAACTTGCATTGATGACATTTTTTCATAGAGTAGCTTCTTCCTGTCAACAGAGCCAGTGCTTACTTCTAAGTGACATAAAAATTATTTGATCCTTGAAAAGAGAGTTTGAGGACACAGTCTTTACTTCTTTCAACAAAAAATATCTTGCTTTGCTGCAAAAATGACTTCAGTAGGATAGATCATTACAATGCATGCAGGGAGCAGAAACTGTTATGATACTGAAACAACCTTGAAAGAGGTCAACAGCTTACTTTAAAAGCTCTTTTAAGTACTGAGAACCACTCTACTTAGCAGTTGTTTCCTGAGTATGAATTTAATCTAAGATTTTCCAAGTCTCTGGGAGGAGGGAAGTCATCATGGATAGTGTGAGTAGTTCTGCCTGCTTTAATTATAGGGGATTGCAGCCTAGTAGTTTACATAAGAGAGCAGAACTGATCCTAGTCTGTGATAGATTTTAGTGATGAGATTTTCTTCAGTGATGAGGAACACAAGCTTAGAAGTGTCATGGCTTTTGTATGAGACTTTGAGGAAAGAAACTGTAACCAAATGTTGTGATTGGTCATAACTAACGGATTGGATGTCTATTTTGGAGTAGCAATTTAGAAATAATTACTATAAGAAAATGTCTCATCTTTGGTACCATGGGGATATCTATATCTAGCTTTGGAATCATAGAATCATAGAATCCTTAGAATTGGAAGGGACCTTTAAAGGTCATCTAGTCCACCTCCCTTGCAATGAACAGGGACATCCACAGCTAGATCAGGTTGCCCAGAGCTTGCTCCAACGTTGCCTTGAAAGTCTCCAGGGATGAGGCATCCACCATATCTCTGAGCAACCTGTTCCAGTGCCTCACCAGCTCTCTCACCATCCCCATAGGAGAGGTGTTCCATCCCTTGGATCATTTTTGTGGCCCTCCTCTGGATGCGCTCCAACAGGTCCATGTCTCTCCTGTATTGAGGTCTCCACATCTGGATGCAATACTCCAAGTGAAGCCTCACCAACACAGAGCAGAGGGGCAGGATCACCTGCCTTGACCTGCTGGCTGCTCTCCCTTTAATGCAGCCCAGGATCCCACTGGCGTTCTTGGCCACCTGGGCATACTGCTGGTTCATGGCCAATCCATCATCCACCAGTTTCTATGTTGTTACACCTCTTTTGGAAATGCTGCATTGCTATAATGAGATAACACAATTGGGAGTAAATAACAAATGAAATGATGAAGTAAGAGGAATAAAAGTTTAAAAGGCAACATACTTAACTTCAACTTGAGATAAACATTATGATCAAATAGAGATGTTATTTTTCACATTTAATTGTATAATGTTCCCTCAAAATACATTAAGCATGCTAGACTACAAAGGAAAGGAATATTATCTGCCTCTTAGGGTAAGACTATACTAAGAAAAGATGAGTGATATTCATCAGTAATGATGTCTGTAAAGTGCAGTAGTTAAAAAAAAGTTCCTACATAATTACTGAAAGAACAAAAATCTATCAGTATAGAATGGTCTTGTATGATACAGCTGCCCTATCTCAGTACTTCAATAGAAGTCATTGTCATTTTTAAAATACCTTTCATGCTAGGCTTCATTGTAAGGTTCATGCAGTATTTTCATTTATTCATTTAAGGGGTCAGGAGACCTAATTTCATCTAAATTTCAGTGTAAAGTAACTGTATATTCTGATTCTGTTCTCAAATTGTATTTTTAACCCTCTTTTCAAAAGAATCTGTGAAATGTCATTTAACTTTCTTATACCTGTCTGGTTAGTGGGCCAACCATAAAATTTAAATAATTATTGAGGTGTTGCCTCTGAAATTCCTCATAAAACGAAAGTTGTGATTTTCAGTAATATAGTAATGTTTCATTTTATACAAACACAAGTTTTGTTGTAAGTTTTAAATGTCCACAAAGATGAGCTTGTAAAAAACATATATAGCTTAACTTTAGTTTTTTTATGTTTATGTACTGTTTTATTTTATTGTAATTTATTTTTTTATACTCTGAACTAAAACTATTATAATAAGGAAACCTAGGATTAGTTATATAGACCCATACTGATACTGATTTATGTGCTCAGGGCTCAGTATGCTGCACAAAATAAAGAGCCATTTTGAAAGGAGTGTCAGGTGATACACACAGAACACTGCACAGAATTACATATCAGAATACATATGATAGAAATACATATCATACATTTAAGGACAGCTCTGATTAGCCTACAGAGATGATATATAACTTTGAAGACCTTCAAGGCTTATTCCCAAGATCTCTTCAGCTTATGCTGAAAAAGTACTTCCTGGTCTGTATCTCTGTCCATCTTATTCTTTCTCTTACTGTCTTAGTTTCTTGAACATTCAGAATGAAAAGTTATGCATTCTACAGCTACAATCTACATAAGGACTGTATCTAGACTAGTTCTATTTCCTCCAAAAAAAAGCTCAAAATAAAGCAACTGTTGTGGAGTTCTCCTTCTCTGGAGATATTCAATACCTGTCTGGACACCTACCTGTACAACCTGCTATAGGCAGCCTGCTTTAGCAGGGATGCTGAACTCTCTAGAATTCCCTTAGCATTTTTATCCAAATGCTTAGAAATAAAATTCTTAAAATAAAATATAATCGTCATGTAATCATCACATACGTCTGTTCAATAGGAATTTTGTCATTTGGAACTTCTTGGTTTATTTGTCTTTTTTTTTTTTTTAATATCTTGAAGATGATGTTTAGTTTTCAACTTAATGAGCACCATTACAGCAGCTTTGCATAATAAGAATGCACGTAAAGGCAAGAAAGCATCAATAAGCACATTCTATATCATGCTAATAGCTATGTTGGGACAGAGAGATATATAAAGAGTCTAGGTGGATAGGAGGAGAAATTTAGGAAGAGATGAATTATAAAGGTACGCTAAAGTGTTTGTTAGTTCATTTTTAAATGCATAATACATGTGATATATATATATAATGGCTTAAATGAGAAATGCAGTATTATTTTAGTCTTGAATGATACCATTTGATTTTCACTTCCATAGGCTCAAGATAACTTTTTTCTTCTAAGAATTACAAACATGTAAATTAATTATCTACTTTTAAATGGAGGAGGAGATATTGTTATACTAAAAAATGTAGCAAATGGAGGAAAATGTTACACTCCAGACTAACTGAAAATTTTAAAGTAATGAATGAAAAACTAGTATTATATTTATGTTATAATTTGTTAGGATTTGGGATTCTAACAGAACTGACTGCTTATAATAAGATATAATAATAATAAGAGCATACTTTGTTTAATAGTAATCAGCAGCCCTGATACCTTTCATCTCAGTTGTCTATAAATTTTCAAAAATGCAATCAATTTTTTCATCTTTGTATTTTGAATGGAAATTGACTGTAGAAAATGGTTGCTACTATTAAGAAGAGTAATAACTTTTTTCATTCTTCCTTAGAAGGGTATGTAGTGTAGTTCACTTTTTGGTCAGTATTGTATGAGATAAGCCTGCAAGGAACAATATGTTTGTTTGTTTGTTCCCATCATTTTCTACATCCCAGCAACTGTGTCTTTTTCAGTCTCTATTCTGTGGCAGAGAGTTTAGCAGTATGCTTCTATGCACGGGATCCAAGACAACTGCTGTAGTCTTCTGCATAACTGCAGTGTAGTAGTCTGAAAATTTTGATAACTTCACTCTGGTATCTGTGTATTTAGTAAAAAATACAGGCCATGGTGATTTCAGGAGAGAGATTACTTCCTGCCACATTACATATTTATGAGCAGAAGCTTTTCTTCGTGAAATATTTGATGTCATTTTGGGGTGTAATTTTTTCCTCATGGAGGAATTCAATTGCACACCTTTGCTTCATCTGCACTACCATCTCAGATGCCATTTTGTCAGACTGCCCCTCTACTGCGTCAGAAAATAGTAATAGAATATTGGCAGGAAGGTTCAACCTTTCCTACAATACCACCAATATCTACCTCTGATGTTGTGGGCCAACATAATAAAATAGGAGGCATTACTTTTGCTGTATCCAGGTCAACATCTAACAGATGTGAAAATAAGCTCAAACAAGTTTAATTCTGTATGCATGGTAAAATCTGGTTTAATTCTGGTTTTGACTGTTAATTCTTAATCAATAGGAATATTTACACATATGAACGAAAAACATTCTTTTAATATGCATGCTTCAGCCATTGAGAAAGCCTAGAAAAACTTTCTGGTAATGAAACTCTTTTCTACCATGTGACTTTTCCTTTATACAAATGGAATTTCACCCAGCGCTTGTATCCAGTGGAAAAAACAGTTTTCTATATCTCTGTCAGGTTTTACATCTCAACAAATAGCAGCTATTAATTAAGAAATCAGTGGTATAAAACAAATGAAAATTTTAAACAGGCAAAAGACATGAAAGACATCTACATTTAGCACCTGCATTTATTAGCAGTGAACCAAAACTTTGTTAGCCTGATTTTGAGGCCATTTGGGCCTCATTGCACAACTTTTACTTGTATTTGAAAACTCTTCATCTTGTAGTAGTTACATATGTGAATTAATCATCATCCTATGTGATTTAAACATCACAATATCTTAGTGATCTTTATCTATGTTGTCTTTAAAATGAGGAATAAAAAGTTAATGGGGCAAAAAATAAAAGCATTTATGTACTTAATCAGATTGCACCTATTACTGGAATTGAGACAACCTTTATATTTATACAACTTGATGCTAACAAAATATGACAAAGTGTGTTCAAATAAGTGGCAATGCATAGATTTCTTCTGAGACAACCACTCATTTATTTCCTTGCCAAAGATATTTGGAAGGTAATAGTTATGTTAGGATAGATTTCTTTTTTTATAATTGAGAACATGCCAAATTTATTTTGAAGACATCTTCATCCAATATTTTTTAAGAATTTCTGGTTTTATTTATAGTACAGCAGTCTCATTTGCAGTACAGATCCTACAGCAATACTTGACACTGTTGAACCTACTTCTGCAGTTCAGAGTGCAGAAAAGCAACTAGTACTTATGTTTATTTATTAGATCCAGACTCTGGGTATTACTCAATGGGATACAGTATTTGGTTTGACAGTTTGGTGATTGAGCTCTTTCTGTTGTTAATTAAGTATTTAGCCTTTTCATTCATCTCTTATAATGAGATTTCATAGAGAAAAGAGTCCCTTATAGGTGCAAACAGTGATCTCTTGCTAATGATGGGAATAAGGTGGATGAGGCCAGTGTTCAAGACACTGATTCAGCTCAAAACTAGTAAAAATTTCCCCCAACCTCTTCCCACATTACTCATTATGGCACAGACAAGAGATGTACAATCAAATAGAAACTAATATTTTAGTTTATGAATCTGAAATACAACTTGAAAAGAGAGCTGTTTGATATTATTTAAGAATGTAACATTTTAACATTTTTGTCAAGAGCCTGGTCAGTTTCCAGCACTAGTTCAGTTTATTTTTCTTTAGTAAAAATGTTTTAGACATTCTATTCTTTTGCTTTAGAAATGATAGTTTGGTTAAGCTGGGGAATAGAAAAAAATGAATTTCACAATATTTTGAGACAATTTATTTTAATGTTCTTATATTGAAAATTATCATTTTTACAGCAAAAGGAAGAAAAGAGAAGCAAATAGATTTTATAGCTGTCCTAAATATTCAGGTGACAGTTTATCAGAAAATAGAACAAGGATAAGTGAGGGAGAGCAACTAAGTTTTACGTCAGTCATAATTATGTTGATGTCTTTTCTGGATTACATACAGCAAATCTTTAATTTATAAGCTCAATTTTGTGTTTTAAACAGTTTAGAATCACAGAGAGATGAAAATTCCCACTATTATCGAGTAAAGCGTAAGAAAAGGATACTTGCAAAATATAACGTCTTTGTATTTTTGTAATTTGTAAATAAAGGAGAGGTAATGCAGAACTGAATCCTGGTTCCAGACAGTGAAATTGTAAGTTGCAGGTCCAGAATCTGTTCAGTTCACCATGATAACCAAAGAGAGGTAGCAGAAAATGTAGCAAGTACATTTTGCTGCTTTGAAGCCACCTTTCTTCTAAGGACAGTGAAGATTTTGCAAGGTAAGAGTTTAAATGCACGATCAACCTCCTTAGTCAAAGTGTGATGGCTGCAGTTCACTTTCTTTCAGTTCTTTGTCCCGTTCCTCATTTCATCCTGCTTTGCTTCTTTCTTTTTCTTACAATACAGGTTTTTGTAAGTTTTGTTTCTACTTTGATGCTTAGCCTGAATTGTTTCAGAACTGCTTGTATCGCTGGAAATTGAAAAGGAAATGAACTGTTGTGAATTTCCAAATGCTGTATACTCTAGAACTTAGTCTTCATGAAGCATTTATTTTTCATAATTTTTCTTCTTTCAGGGATCACACTCTACAGTCAACCATACGGAGGAGCCTTGCTGGATGAGGACAAAATGTGAGCAAACTCTTAAAAAATACATAACTGCTGCAATGAATACAGAACTGAAGCTGTTAATTTAATAAGCTTATTTGTTGCATGAAATAGGTATAACCTGATGGATTCAACTCAGTTCTACTGAGTCAAGCATTTTCTCTAGTTTTCTGTTTATATGTTGTCCACTGTTTGCATCAAATAAGGGTGCATTGCTTTCTAGAGAAAAATACTGTATTTACCCTGACTGCTGTTTTGAGTGTATTCTGACATTCTCAGACAGTTTAAGTAAACTATTGTTCCTAATTTTAATGCTCTGTAAAGGTTGAAATATTTGCAAAAGCTCCACTTTATTATTGAAACATTTAAACACAGGCTGTGTTCTGTGATTCATGTATAGTTTTGTAACTCAACACATTATCTTGAGCCTGTTCTTTAATGAGACGTTGACAATGTAGAAACGTGGTCTTTGCAAACAGGATTAAGGTCCTAATGTGAAGTGTTGTTTTGGTAGAGTTGGATTTGAAAATGATGGGCTTTTTTGCACTGTATTTTCATCACACCATTGTGTTTTTTATCCTAGAATGGAAAATATTCGTCAGTGTGGGGTAGCACTCTGTATCATGCTGGGTTTCTCCATCCTCACCGCATCTATTGGCAGTGCCATAGTGAAAGACAGAGTATCTGGTACAAAACGCTTGCAACATATCACCGGCCTGGGTTACAAAACATACTGGCTTGCTAATTTCTGCTGTGATATGGTATGTATCCTGTAGGGGGAGGCATGTGCTTCGCTGTAAATTTTTAATTAGTTTGATGTAAATGAGCAAAATTATGTCCATAAGATACATTAAAACAATTTGAATTGTGTAGAGCAACAACTTTTGGCTATCATGTTTAATATTGTGACACTGATGCTACTTTAGTACTGAGATAAAATTCTGTAAACCAGAGATTGCGTTATTCATTTTCAGAAGAGGAATTGTAAGGAGCTGAAGTGTGTGCTAGCTTTAGGCACCTGTACTATTTCACAAATAAATGGATACAAGCTAATCAACCCAGACAGAGAGTATCTTCCACACAGCGGTTCATGGCAGGAGTTATTCTACTTTCAGTGCTTTGAGTTGCCACTGGCAAAAACCTTCAGAATATGGGAGAAGCCTGGAAATAATAGCCAGCCACATTAAAGGCTTAATTATGTTGTATGTTGGCAGATAATAAGAGCAGTATTCCCTTCTGATATCTTATGTTTCTTGCAGGATAGACAGTAGAAGGTCTTATAAATGAATTCACTTTCACAGAGTGGCCTAGAGCAGAAATGGACAATTCTTTGTCCTGTAAATTTATTTTTCTCAAAGTATTTTCTATCTTTTTTTTTTTTTTTTTTTTTTTTACATTAGACACAGTATTGTTTGTATGTGGATTATTAACAAACAGGAAAAACTCAAAATATTCTCTTTTAAAATACAAAGTTTACCCACCTAACCAAATGTAAAGATAGAAATGCTACTAATATCTGATTAACATTAATAATCAGATTAATGCCAACAAAGTTAAATAAAGTAGGAGTTTTTATGTACGTTCTTTAAGACTTTTCAGACCAATGAACAAAGGTGGTGAAATAAACTAATGAACTTGTAGGTCCTAGTCACTGACTTCAACTATATAATGAAAGTCCTCTGGTTTCCCTTTGAGCACAGATTCCACAAATGTTCTTCAAATATCTGTTTTTGAAAATGGCTCTTTAAAAAACAAAAGAAAAAAATTCTCCATTTGTATGTATATATGTGTGTGTGTGTATGTGTATATATACACCACTAAAAGGCTGTTTCATAGTTCATCTGTAATAAAGCCTTGCTATAGTACCAGCTGAGTGTTGTGAAAGGATTTGGGATTAAGACATCTACTTATGTGAAAACTCCTGCTTCTAGAGAACTCAGGTGCTGCATGTTTATTGCTCATTTAGTAAATGTTTTTAGAAGAAAACTTTGAATGAGAAGATGTTTTGACTTAGGAGAGTTTTTTCAGAGGCAATAATGAGTAATTGGAATCATCTGGATTATTCAAAAGTAATGCAAAGATTCATGCCTCTAGAGGAGGGATAGAAATCTTCTACATTTTGTTTAACCCACTAGAAGATCATGGAAGGAAGGTCTGGGGTTTAGCATAGGCAGTGCAAACATGAACTGGCCTTCTCAAGAACAAAGATTTTTTAGAATGCTCTTCATTCTCACTCAAACTTTTATAATTCTGAAACATTAGAGATTCACCCATCCATGCTTGAAATTGGGGTTTTCTCACTTGAGCAAGCGTGAAGTAAGAGCACATTTATCCAGAAGTTATTTACATGGTCAGTCAATCTTTGTATTCACTTTTCTGCCATGTCAGGTAAGAAGGCTTGGTTGAAAACTTGTTTCTTCATCATTCAGTTTCTCCTTGTGCAGCAAAGTCAGCTCCTTGTTATTTTCTGCCAACCTTTTCCTTTCAGAATGTTCTCACAAATTCAGCATTGTACTGCATGATCAATCATGGTCTGGGAAAGAATGGACACTACTTTAAATGCTAATTGTGCTGCAGATCATCTAGGGACACTGAGCACCTGAATGTATGAACTGTCAAATCTGAAATCTCTCTACACATTTTAAGCATTTCAGGCTCTGTCCTGTATTATTGGTAGCACAATTTTTACTAGACCTGCAGAGGTGTTTGATTTATGAAACTGCTGTCATTAGCTTGTTCCTAATATATTTATGCACAAGAGTAGTATTCATTACAGTGTTCAACAAATAGGTAAAGTTTAAGTGCTTGAAAAATTACATGACAGATTGCAATGTTTTGTTAAGATTGTTTCACTAGAGAGGCAAAATACAGGAAATATTTTTGTAATATAATTGAACATTAAAAGTGTTTTTCCAGAAAAAGTAATCAAATATATTTATCTATTGAAATATTTTAGTCTCAGATGCTTTGTGACTTCTATGACATGTTTCTTAAATGGCTCCAGAATCTGACTCTCAAATCTGTGGAGTAGTATTGTACAGTATTTATGTGTGCCACTGGTGGTGCCATAAAAAAGACTGTGAACAAGATGAAAACATTGCTCAATTATCCTGCCTTTAAAAATGTCTGTCTTCCCAACAAGAAAGAAATGATGCCCTCTGGTTTCAGTGTGGACTGATTTGCATTGTGTTTCAGTATGAATGTCTCTTTTTGAATTAAGGATATTGCGCAACACCAAGTATCTAGCTAGAATAATCATTAGTTGCTTTTAATGCAGTTTCATCTCAGAATCTAAGCTATGTAGGCTTCTCCAAAAGCTATGTCTTGTCTTTATTTCCATGGAAACTACAAGAGATTAACACAGAGCACAACAG